GCGCGTGCAATCCTGGCAAAGCTGCCTTCACGCGCAAGCTGCCCGTGCTAGCTAGTACGCGGCGCATCATGCACAAGTGGCCTGATCCTGTACACCAGTGGTTCCCAGCCATGGATGTGTCGGGGACCCCTTGCGGACCGCTGGCAGTGATGGGGGACCCCTTCCAGCGGGGGGAGAGGGGGGGGGGGGGGGGGGGCGTAAGTAAGTTAACACATCTGGAGCATGAAACAGGTGCCTTTTATTTCTACGTAGCAGAAAAACATAAAACAAAGGCACATTTGCGCTTCAAACTACAAAAAACGTGCCAACTAAAAAAAAAAGATTTTTTTTTTGTTGGGGGTCTCGCGGACCCCATGCAGAAGTGTTTTCGCGGACCCCCTGGGGTCCGCGGACCCCTATTTGGGAACCACTGCTGTACACCATAAACTTCTTTACGAGACGGCTGAGGACGTTTCGATTGTGAGAAAGCTATATTTTGTTTCTCACCATAAGAAAGAGCGCGGTCACAGCCGATAGAGGGCACACAAACACGGATACACATACTAAAGTTGCGAGGTCACGATGCATTCACTGCGCTTGATTGGCTTAGTCGCTTATACAAGACGCAGCACAAGATACGATGAATGCATGAATGTTGTGACGTTGCACTTTTTGGAGCTCTCTGATTGGCCTTATCGACTTGTAGCGTCAGTTGAACTAAGACTTCAAGTGAAACAAAGTATGGTTCTTGCTGAGAACGTCCCGACAACCATTTTACTACCCTCTTCTAAACAGAATAAAAAAAAAAAAGGAGAAACCGAGTTTTTCCCAATTCCAACGTGGGAAGGATTCCAAAACAAGAAATTATAGGTGGTCTGCGATGAACTTGCTTGGTGCACCAAAGAAGCATCGGCCTTCTAACCCCGTGGCTGTGATTGCGTCCTAACACGCGCATGTTCCGCGTAAAGAAAGGTGTATAGGAGTTCACGGACTTGGTGTACAGTCTGTCCCACTTGGTTGTGACGATACCAGCTTTTTCAAACAGAACTTAGCAAAAAGAGTCCAAAACGTATCAATCTGTCGTCAAGTGCAAGTGCGAGAACAGGTTCGCGTCCCTATAGAAGCAATATTTAAATCACGCGGCGCGTATCGAATGCACGCGGAGCTATACCTACGCGAAACAGATAATAAAATCAGGAATCTCAAATTCGTCCTCACCCAAACTTTGGGTCAAGCCATATGGACTCATTGAAAGAAAAAACCGCCCTTAAAGCCAGCGCGCAAGCAACCGAGCACACTGCGAACAACGCCAGCGAGGCGGCTACGTCGGCGCGCCAACGGTGCTGGGCCCCTCAAATACAGGCATAATCAAGTTTATTCCTCCTCCTCGCAGCATTGCCAGTCAAGCCCAGGGCTAAAGCGGAGCAAGAATCCGAAAGCGCCAGTGGCGGCCGCGACGGTGCAGCAGCCTCATTACACGCCCGGACAATATCCAGGCCAGCGGGGCCCAACACACGCCAACAAGACACCGAAACAGCCCCCGGGGCACGCGCACAGCTATACATATAGCGCCGTTTTCCTCCATTTGCGAGAATTTCAGGGATTCCATCTCGAGTGCGCAGGCAACGAGGGAGAGGCCGGCCGGCTGTTTAGACGTGCCGAGTGCCAGGCACGGTCGAGCGGTATTCACGACGCTCCCCCCCTCCTCCTCCTCCTCCTCCCCCCCCCCCCCCCCCCCCCCCCATGGTAGCTCATTTCATCCACTCAACACCCAGCCGTGTGCAATGCATACAAAGCGCGCTCTCCGCAAAATTTTATGTGCATTTGAAAAAAAAAAAAAAAAAATCGCCGGAAACTTTTTAAAGTCAAAGACACCGTGCCTCTTTTTCTTTTTTTTTTTTAAGCGCTTTAATTTTTGGCGACCGAATAAGAATTTGTGTTGAAACCGAGAGAAATGGTCGACAAAAGGAAAGGAGAGATTTGCTGGCGCTAGTCATCGACCGGCTTAACGATACATGATCCGCAACGTGTAGTCGACTGGGGACGCACGTTTCGTCTGCTAGATCTTTCTCTCGGACGAGAGAACGCAGCATCGATGACGACGGTACACACCGCGATGCCGAGAGCGCGAACGCTCAGCCGCCAGTATTCGCGCGATTCACAGGGCGGTGAAATGTTAGGACTTCTAGCCTGAGCATGTATATATGACGACCGCCAGCCAGGCAGGAACTAACTCGTCACATGGAGGTGTAACCTAGCGACCGTCAAACGACACGTACTTCTAAGAGCAACCAAATGTGTAGCTATTTAAGTTTGCATACCACCCAATCGACACTGAAAGCGATCAGCACCACTCACCTGCCAGCGGCTGATACAGGTCACAGAATGCTTACCTAGAGGAGAGAAGTGAAGATAGGGTTAGCATATCACCTTCAGAAGCATACTGGCGCGTTTATGAAATCACCGTGAAAACGTTTCTTTCAACAGTATATAAAACCTTCAACGTCGAACAGTACGGACCGATTTGCAGGGTGCATTGGAAAACAAGCACGTTGATACATCGAACGACCAGCAGTTTCGTTACCCGATCAACATCTTAAATTTGTCGTCCCCCCCCCCCCCCCCCCTCGGTATTCAATATTGATGCAAGGTAGGTTGATATGTTGAAGGCAACAGCAGTTTGGTCACGCGATTTAATTCTTAAAAGTGTTTAATCTTGTTCAGTCTCATCTCGAATCATATCTCGCTGCTAAGACGCTTAAAATAGGTAGCGAGGTAGCACCACTGTGTAAGAGAACGTAAATATAGAAACTTGTCGTGCATATTTGGCCTCCCTCGGCATTTAATATTCAAGCGAGGCTTACTGTGCGCGATACGCGTGGGTGAAGTCGCAGGCAAGAAATCTTCCCAGAATGCTTAAATAACGTGTTCTTTATCGCATGCCCATGCCCCCGCCCCCTCTGACTTCGAATAATGTTGTATTACTACACAAAGCAGCCAAGCGTCGCCTTCGGTAACCGCGTCAATAACTAAAACCAGGCGAAAGTTAAATATGACGAGAACGACATTTTTCTGTTTGCAGAAATTTTCGTTCAAAATTTGAATCACCAGCACGAATCGAAAGGATCTGACGAATCCCGAAAGCGCGAATAAAAAGGCGCGGTCCAGTCGTGGCGAGGTTATAGGAGCGTATAAAGCCCCGCTGAAGTTTGTTAACGCCAGTTTCAACTCTGGTACTTAATAATGAAAACAACCCGAAAGGGCGCAGCGATCAAACGGCTGCGTAAGACGGAAACCTCATTACACGGCACGGCAGTGTCACAGGTCCGAGCTGCAAGCGGGCAAAGCAGCCGAGATTGCAATTAGGATAATCAACGGCGCACGCGCCCGCCGCCCCTGCGCCAGCACACCAACAACAACCCCGTTGGAGCCGGCTCTCGCGTCCGACGAACCGGGCGCAATAATCGGCTAGCCGCGAACTGAAACACACAAATGACGAAGCACAGCGGGGACGAACGTGGCAGCCAAGCCGGGCTGCAAAGGCGCAGGTCTCTCGCGCGCGTCGGGGGGCAGCACCGACGGAGACAAAAGGACCTCGACGGAGCGAGGCACAATTAAAAGCAAATGCGTCCCGTCCTCCATTCGTGGCACGGAACTGAACCGAGCGAGAGAGAAAGAAACAAACGACAAAGAAAAGGTTATATAAACAAGACCCGCCTCAGCGACCGAGCTGGTGACGGCGTCGACTTGTGCAAGTCACGCTAGCCCTAGCGGAGCTCCCGAGGAACGAGCAAAGAAAGAAAGAAAACCGCACGGGGTACGGGTGTTTATTACTTATGCGGATACAGGTACGACGGAGAAAAGGTGCCTTGCTTGTGCACGTAATCGTTGTTGTTGTTGTTGTTGTTATAGCTTCGGAAATTATGCTTCCAGTTGTGTGGAAGGAAGGAAAAGGAAACAGAACGATTTGACAGTGGTCGTACAAGATCCGGTCAAAATAAAGCGCGAGCGGAGTAGACAAGCAACCAGAAGAAGCAGAGAAAAATGAAAAAAAAAAAAGAAGAAAAAGGCCATCTCCTTGCCCGAAGTAGCCCTGGCAACTTTCTGTGGGAAAAGCTGACCCTAATGTCACTGGGCCGTCAAGAGCGCCTTTGTCCGAAACCACTTTCTGGGCTCCCCCCCCTCCCTCCCTCTCTCGCTCCCTCTCTCTCTCGCTGCCTCGGGGAAAGAAAGTTTTCGGACCCAGCCCACAAAGGCCTACACACCTGCGCATTCCAGGCGGAAGAGAAGAAACCCGGAGAGCCAAACCCGGACCGGAGGAAAAAAAAAAAAAAAAAAGACAGCGAGGAGGAACTGACGAGAAGGGGGATAACAATAAACTGGCCGTAAGTCGCTCAAAAAAAAGAAAAGAAGAAAAAAAATTCCACATTTTGTCGCCTTCGAAAGTCTCCACACCGACAGCGTGATTGTCCGAAAAACACCTCAGATTTCACCGCATCCCCTCAATCAATACCTTGGAAACACAGAACAGCCGCAGTCCAGAGCACAGTAACAAACGGTCAATTTTTGACGCCCCCCCCCCCCCCCCCCACACACACACACACAAAATAATAAACGCGGCAAAATTTCGCACGCAAAGTCCGGCAAATTTAGAAAAAAAAAAAAAAAAAAGATAATTGTTTTTGACAGTAGTGAACACAACAACCGAGCTTTCTTTACTGCACTGACGGGTGCGAGACTAGTCGACATTTCATTACTGGAAGCCAGGCAAATCTACAGGCTTGCCGGGTAAACACGGGCCACGATAGGAGAAGCCCTGCAAATGACAGCGCCACAAGCGGATCGCGAGGCACAACAGCCCAGCGCAGATGTCAACAACAGAGCGCCAAGACCGCACCTCCGACACCCAATGGAATCGGCCGCCCTCTCGCGAGAGGAGAGAGAGCCGCTGCAAGAGTGCCGTGCCCCCCTCAACCTCGGGACCTCCTCGCTGAAGACAGCGCGGGACGGCCGAGGAAACCAGTTGGCCTCAAGTGCGCCTCCGCGGACGACCAGCAGACCTGGCCGTGCAGCTTGCCCCAAAGGATTAAACACCTCTCGGAGCGCGCGAATCTCAACCTGCCCTGGCGCTCGGTGAGTCAATTCTCCGGGATGGCGAGTGCCCGCCCGTCGGCTGCTCTGCATGCGTCCGTTGTGCGCCGATTCTGTGTGCGTCGAGAAGCGCCAATGACCACGGACCTGTGCCTGCCACGGTCTCCGGTCCTTCGGCGTTTCTCGAATGCGCGCGCTTTCGTATCTGTTTCCGCTCCTGGTGCTGCAGTGCCTCGCGCGCCAACGCCGAAAACGTGCCCAGGCACAGACAGGTGCGCCTGACGTGGGCGCAGGAACTGTACGCGCCGGTTTGCGTCCCCGTGTGGATACGCGCTGGTGCATGTTCTCGTATCCGTATGGTAGGTTCTGATCGGCGTCGACACTTTTCGCCCCTACAAAGTTGGGTGTTACGGAGTGCTTGTTTGCGTGTCTGTTTCATAGTAGCAGAGTGTCACGAAAAGGTTACCAGTAAGCTAGTTCTTTATAGTTCGGATTCGTGGTGCCAACATCTTCATATATTTTACCGTGTGGAGGTGATCAATCCCTCGAGGTGACGAAAGAATGACCGACTTGTCATTTTCGCAACCAAGTTTCCGGCAAAAAGCCAACCAAACAAGCTAAGTAAGCACATAACAAAACCCCAATTGCCATAGATGTGAAACTTACGCAATCGTGTTGGCGCGTCTACTCGCGCTTTGCTTTCACAAGTGGCTGGCTCGGTCAAGTCTACCTCCATTAACATTTCTTTCCACGTGAAAACACAACCAAAGAACTTATCCGAAGGCAGATGATCCGATCAAGCTTTCCTCTCACGGCGACACGCGTGGCGACCTTCAGACTGGATCAGTGCACGGGAGAAAGGAGCGCTCGGGGAAGACATTCCAGGATTCCAGTGCGAAAGTAGCGAACAGGAAAGAATGCCAACAATCTCGAATCAAGAGAGAACTTTACATCACGACACAACAAATAAAACAAGTTTTGCAACGCGGGACCGAAGCAATAAAATTGCGGGGGAAGGGAGGACTATAGGGATGATGTGGATAAGAAAGAAGCGTCAAGTTTATGCGCACCGCCCACCGCAGCGGTTTCCGTTCCAAACGTAGCTAAAGTTTGTGACGCTCCCGCAGGTCCGGCTCCGGCACGTCTTCCGACCTTGAGTTTCAACAAAAGGCCTTTTGCCCTCGTGCTGTCTTCACCGCGCAAAAGTACAACAAAGATGACACATGCCATCTTCGGCGCTCGCCTCTTGACGTCAACCGCGGACGTTCTCTTCTTTACTTCAGACTCGGATGACGGCCGTCCGGGCGTAGTGCCGTCGCCCGATAACGAGTGGTGGTATGGCCGGCGAAATAGCGGGCACTCCGTCGGGTGAATACACTACAATCGAACACCATTCTTCCGTCTCTGATCGATTCGCTATTTCCGTCATCGAGTAACAAAGAAAAACGACAGGAACAGTAGCGTGTAATCTGTCCCCTATTGTTCGACCCTTTTTCCGCGCTCCATGTTTCCGTAGCCTCGGGCAGTGAGGAGTGACGTCCGGCGCGAGTCTCCGTAGAAAACTGCGAGCGGGCGCAGACTTTGGGCTTCTGCACGAGTCCAGATTACGACGACGGGAGAAGTGCCACCAGAGACTCGGAATAATCGACAAAAATTGTCTCGCTACGCGTGTTTTCAGAAGCGAACAAAATTTAAAATATGTCTTATAGTAAGCATGTTGAGGCTGCTGGGATCATCTTTCAGAACTGATGCTCTCATGTGTAAAAACAAATTTTTCTCTCGGGGGTTACGATTACGTAACGCCCCAATACACACTTCGCGTGGTATGATTGCCGGTCCGAATCCCTCCCTCATACACCGATAGCACGTTTCAAGGCCCACGCAACATCCCGGCGTCCCATCGCCACGGCGTGTATGGTGGATGGTCGCCAAGAAAGACGCAATGAAGATGTCCCCCCTCTCCGAAATTCCGACGGAGTCTTCGCCAGCGCGTGATCAATCGAATGCGCGTGGCGCTCCGGCGGAAAAAGCTTCTCGGCCGGGCAGCATCCTCGCAGTCCGTCCCGAGCGGCTTTCGCCCGCACAGGGGTAGCCCCGCTCGCGCACCCACGCGCGCGGGGCGCTTTTCAAGGCTGCCCACTCGAAGGCGTCAGCGTTGGCCGACTCGGCACAGGCAGGTCGGAACCACTCTGAGAAGGCCCTCCAGTGGCCCCGAGCCCGTACCGCTGACCCGTTTAATGCCTTCTCCGACCTGAGCTCGATCGATGAGCGATGACCGCCCATCGATCTATCGACCTCCCAAGTAAAAGTTGGAATGAAGCATCCCGTCGGTGCCGTTATGCTTCATTCCAACTCCGTCTCTTGTACTGCCTCCCTTTTCTTTGTTATTTTTTTCCTCCTCCCGTTTAAAAGAAAAAAAGTGTCTATATCTATTTATTGTGAAAGGAAAACGTGCGAGGAAGCTTGAAAGCGGGTTGTCTGGCTGGTCTTTTAGAAAGTCGGCGAATCTGCAGGCGCCGCACGACGCGACCATCGCTTTTAGGGGGAACCTCCCGCTGTTGTATATACTGCTCTATTTTTAAGGCTCCAACTGCGATGCGGCGGGAACGGCCACGCATCCTGAATCGGCTCTAATGCCCCCGAACTCGGCCCTCCGCTTTTACTTAGGAGACGGAGGTTCGGTAGGTAAGCGCTCTATGCAGATTCGCCGAGGTTAACTTGACGAGCATTTTTTTTATTATTATTTTTTTTTTTTTTTACTTTTCTCTTATGAAAAGCTCGGGGTCACTGCTTCGAAGCTCGACCAGTTTCAATGTCAGTGAAAACTGCTCGACGACCCTTTGTATTCTTACGAAGTACCAGCGAAGCGCTTCATATTGGTGCCCGTCAAAGCATATTTAAAGTTTTTTTTTTTTATTATTATCTTATTTACATCATTGGGAATACCCGTGCTTTATTCTTCCCAGCGTGCTGTTTATTATCTATAAATTCAAAATGGCTACCGAGAAAACAAGAAATGAATGGAATGCCAAAACCAACATTCAAATTTCCCCGCGGATTCTATAGGCGTGACGTCACATGCTGTACAACTTGTACGTCGAATAGGCAGTCTGCCAAACAAAACATGACGTGATTTTTTTATTTTCTGCATTGTGTTGGAGTGAGTTTTTACGGCATTCATTTCACACCCACTAACTTCTCGTAACCCTTCGGGAACATGTCACCTGCCCAAATTACAACAACATGGATGGATGCTAACGACTGTACCCTTTATAAAGGGCAGTAGCTTGCGCCACCTAGAAACCAAAAGTATGATTTATCCCCTCCCCCGCCAATTTTCTTCCCCACTCTTTTTTTAACTCTCACTAGGCGGTGTGGGATTGTGCCGGGATGACCTGGGAACACTTTACTGGCAACACTTCGACAGTGTTGCCTATAAAGCCTTCCAGTTCCAAAATTCACAGGGTCTCTTAAGTTATCCCTAACACGACTTGAAGGCGAAAGCGCAAGCGCGGATGCATTAAAGACAGACACATGATTTACTTCGTTTCAAGTTCTCTTTTTTCACACTCTCTTTTTTTAAATTCTCTGTTTCATATGTTATTTCCAGATTTCACGCACACAATTCCTCGTAGTCCTCTCACTTCTCTTTAATACCTCTCGATTCACTTTAATTCCCCTTAATTCACTTTATAGTCCCTCCTAATTCCCATAGATTACTCTTGCTTCTTTTTTAATTCCTCTTAGTTCACTTTAATTCCCTTAATTCACTTGGATTGCTCTTAATTCGCTTTGTCATCCTTCTTAATTTTAATGCCTCTAATTCGCCTGAATGGTCACGTAAACGTTTTTGTACCGTTCGTGTCGTCGACGTGTTTTCGCTCAAAGACCTTGAAGGTCGAATGAACAATGAGACGTATGAGGCTTTCACCTTACTAAACGGCGTGCCAAACCAACGACGGGCATCTGGCACGCCCCAGCGGAGGACTGAGGATTAATTTTCACCACCTGAGGATCTTTTGACGTGCAACCGAAAGTGCACGCGGCGCCTTCTCCGCAATAAGCCTCCGTCAGGTTGCGGGCACTTCGGCCGGGGGTTCGAGACCGCCACCTGGGGATCCGCAGGACGGCGCTCGGAGCCACCGAGGCGGCTTTCGCGATTTAAGCGCCGTTCACACTCTTGCGACCGAGTGAGACCGAGAGAAACCAGACCGGTTTTTAAGCCGTTTGCGACTTCTTAGGACCGGATGCGATGCAGCGGAGCTGGTCCTAAGAGATCGCAAGAGGCATAAAAACCGGTCTGGTCTTACTCGGTCGCAAGAGTGTGAACGGGCCTTTAGTCGAAGGGCTTAAAATGTTTTGACTGCGATAGTGCACATAACTAGGCACCCTACACATAACTATACACTGTTCCTAGTTTCGTAGCCCCCCCATACGCTTTACCACAAAACTCGTTTCAAACTCGAGACCCGTAAGTCAAATGCGCAGCTCCTCACGGAGCGTTAGTAATTCCCCTTTTAACGTGCTGAACTAACATATTTGGATTTGCATTTAAAGGGATTGTCCGGCCGAAATCGGAAGTACTTAAAGGGGCACTGAAGTCATTTTTGGAAAAGGTCGTTTTCGATCTTATTTTTTTTGAAAGGTGATACTTCCCACATATACCGCGTACTGTAATACAAAACCGCCTATTCATCTTAAAGCAATAGAAAAACATGTGGACTCTTTTTTTCTCGCGGACTACATTATGTGGACCAATGAAAGCCCTGCAATGCGCGCAGATTCCGAATGATTTTATTATAACTCGTTTTGAAAAGATTATGAAAGGTACACATCCGGATAAGACTCCTCTTTTTCACCGTGGGCGAAGTCATCACTTGAAACTCGCCGGCAAGCGCCCTTTGCCGACCACTTCACTCGGAAGAAAATTCTTCCCCATAAGGGCGAGTCGCGATCTTTGAACACGCTTTTAACGAGGAAACAAGCTACGCACCATTGTAATTTCGGGTTTGTTGGGATGCTTAGAGCATCTAGACTGAATT